GGTCCTGCCACTCTTGGGAATAGGATGGATTTCATTATTGACCACCCTTATCAATCCTACAATCTGCCCTCCATACAGTGGCTGAAAGGGCAAGAGGAATGCCCAAAGATGACAGGGTAGAGGTGAAGTCTCAATGGAGAGGAAAGGGGTTGAAGGAAGAATCTGCTTACTTCAAAAATTTGGCCAGAAAAGGATTCTCTGAGTCTATCTTCAGCATCTGTAGAAGTTCAAAATGCCCCATAGAACACTGTCTTTGGAGCAAGCCAGAACTGCTTTTGACATGATTGTGGTGCAGCCAGATAGGTCTTCTTGCTCTTCCTCATAGATGGTGTTCCTTCTCTCGCCCCTATACCTTTGCACATACCGTCCTTCTAGCCTGAAACACACTCCCTCCTCACCCTGGCCTCTGTGAATCCCGAGTTTCCTCCAAAGCTCAGCTCAATGGCTTCTGATTCCTTCAGCTATGCCAACCCACGATATAGTGAAATCACAATGGGGAAATAAAGTCATGATGTGGAGGGAATCACTGTATTGGGTTCAGTTGCAGGTACCACATTTAAGGAGAGATATTTAAGTTGATGCTTGCCCAGAGGATGATGACCAGGATGGTAGGAGGATTTGAAAGCATACTATACAGGGATAAGTTGAAGGAACTCTTAGGGGTTTATCTAAAGGAAGGGAAGACTTAGTGGGGACATGATTGAAATCTTTAAATATTCAAGCAATTGCCTTGTGATGTATAATACTCATTTTTGCTTGGTTTCAGAAGGCAGAATTAGAACCATGGAGATAGATTTTAGGTCAACATTAAAAAATACCCAACTTCCTAAGAACAAGAGATGACCAACCCCAAATGGAAAGAACTACTTGGTAGGAAGAGAATTTTCTGTCCCTGAAAGTATTCCAATGGAGACTGGGGATCATTTGTTGGGGATGCCATAGAGAACAATCCTGTTTCCAGGTAGGGTTGGACTAGGTGGGCTCTGAGATCTCTGCCAACTGTAAGATTCTGATACTCTCAAATGTCTCTTCTGAAAAAGGGATAGTCAGCCAGCCACCCACAAATGCTGCAGAAGTCATCTGGGTGAGCCAGGGACTGGGCTTCAGGACATAATAGACCCTGTTTCATTCATGATATCCCTACACTGACCAAGAAAGCAGATATTGAACCAAAATCCCAACTCCCTCCTGTTTTCCTGGATGCTTTGCTCCCTATCTTAGCCTTAGAATCAGGCAGCCCAGGACCCAAGGGTCAAGGTCAAATGCCCTGGGTCTAAGAAGAACATTCTTTATGGACTGCCTGTGCCTCAATTTTATGTTAGGCACTGTGAGTGAAGCAAGATAAAGAGAGGGCACAGACCTTTTTCTCAAGGAATAGACAGCCTAATTGGAGAGATAGAATGATAGATGATATAATTCCAGATCATTTATATGATGAGGGAGGCAACATGATGCATTGGGTGGAAAGCTGACTTTGAAGACCTGGGTTCAAGTCCTCCCTTTATTGGCTATGTGACCCTTAACCTCTCAGTACTCTAGGCCAGTGGCATCAAATTCATCAAAAAGAGGGGCATGAATCCATGCACAAGGATTCCTGCCCTTTGCTATTTCAAAATGTGATATTTTCTAGGTTTTATTTTTATTTTTGTTAAATATTTCCCAATTACATTTTAATCTAGTTGGGGCAGCGCTCAGTAGTGTTGTGAGCTTGTAGCAAGGGGAGGGTTTGACACCTTGCTCTAGGCAACTCTAAGAATATAAATTGCAAAGAAAACACTCATTTTCATGGATAGAGTTTCCTTACCTGGAAATTTCCTTAAACCAATGAAATTAATAAATCAGTCTATCCCTGTTGTTGTTCAGTCATCTCCCACTCTTCGTGATCCCATTGGGGTTTTCTTGCAAAAATACTGGAGTGGTTTGCCATTTCCTTTTCCAGTACATTTTACAGATGAGGAAACTGAGGTAAATAACATTAAAGTGACTTGTCCAGGGTCTCACAGCTAGCAAGTGTCAGAGACCAGATTTGAACCCATGAAGATGAGTCTTCCTGTTTCCAAGCCCAGGGCCCTATACACTTCAGTACCACCTAGCTGCCCCTTTATATCTCTATCAAATGCTGAATAGTTTTAGCATTGCTTATCCCTGTGAGAGGAGGATGGAGAAGGAAGAGACCAGTGCGGGCTGGAATAAGTGGAGGAGCTGAGAACTGCACATGATGGATTGGAAAGATTAGAAGCATCCTTCATACAAAGGGCTTCCATGGGTTAGATTCAGGACTGGGCGGCCTAGGGTTCCAGGGATTAACTATTACCCTCAGATGCATATTCAAATGACCCAAATTTCAGCATCATCATAGTTTGTCAGCAATTCTATGGGCTGGGTAAGAGGGCTGGAACCTGGTAGAGTAAATAAACTGACCCTGGAGTCAGAGGACCTGGGTTCAGATCTTGCCTCTGGTCCAATCCCTGTGTGATCTTGGGGATACCCCTTAAACTCTCCGGGCTTCAGAGAGTAAATGTGGAAGACTGGACTGTATGGTCTTTAAGGACTTTTCCTACTCTAAACCTATGATTCTAAGCTCTTTGAATCTCCAGTGTTTATTACAGTGCCTGGCACATAGTAGGCACTTAATAAATGCTCGTTGACTTAATAGAGGTCCTTGATCCAGTTTGGGACAGGCTTGGGACCGGTATTGGTAATAAGGTATCTCTGCTTCCTTTTGGGCCAGGACCCAGTGCTTAGCATACTGCCTGGCATATAGTAGGTACTTAGTAAATGTCAACTGACTATTTTTCACTCTCTCTTATGGCTAACTCATCCACCCACTGGTCCTCTCTACCCATCAGGTTGACCTGCAAATCCCTGGCAATGGAGACAAGATATAGGATGCTCTCTGTTGTATAACACCCAGGCAGGGAAAGGAGGAAAGCAGCCCAGAGCTTTTGATAAATCCTATGATTTTTCTTTCTGACACTGTTAACACATCATCAGTGTCACAAAGCTTTCTACCCAGCTCCATGCAGTTCTCTGCCCTCCCTCTCCCCTACTCCATACGGCATCCTTTTAACACACAGCACTTCCTTCGATTCCAGCCATATGTCACCTTGCCCTGGGCAGCTCTTAGCTTTGTAATTTAGGAAAACAAAAAGGGCTTGCTTCCCTCTTCATTCCCTCAATGTCCTCTACCAGCTGGGGCTAAGGCCTAGGATTTCCCCAATTCTGCTTCAATATCTCTGGTCCCATGACTCCCTCCAGCCCCCCGGTGAGGACCCAGAGATTCCTCAAACAGCCTTTGATCCTTCACCAGGATGGCTGGTGCCTCAGAGGGAACTCAGAGGCACCAACTGCACAAAGAAATTAACATTGATGTTTTCAACACAGGGAAGGAAACCGTTTGTCCCATTCTCTGGGAGAAAATGCGAAGTCCCTGAGGATATGGGGTGTTTTCATTTTTAAAAATGCTACTTTTTGTTTTTACGTGATCATTTCCTAAAATATTCTTTCTTTCTGCCCCTCCCAGAGTCATCTCTTCTAACAGAGGAAGGGCAGTTCATCAAAGGTAACCTACTCATTAGCCAAGTCTCACAATATATGGAGGGTTCCACCCCCATAGTCTCCCACTTTTGCAAAGAAGAGAGAGGATAGCTTTCTGCTATCTCTTCTTCTGGGTCAAGCTTGGTCTTTCTAATTATACAATATTTGGTTTGGATTTTCTTTTGTTTTTTCCAATGATGTTGTGGTCATTGTGTATATTGTTTTAACTGTTTTCATTTTTTGTCTTTTTATCTAAAGGAGGTATTTTAATAAATATTTGTTGAATGGAACTGGGATTCAAACCCAGAAGCCCAACTAGGCCAGTACTCAACAGGTACAGACAGATTGAGGTATGAAGAGCCCCTCATGCTTCTGACTCCATGGACCCCAAGGGACTTGAGCCAGATTCCCTCTTTTATCTCCAGGGATCTGAGAAGGTAGGATGATTGAGGAGCAGACAGCCACCGTGCCTTGGAAATCAGCATCAGGCATGGTACTCTTAGGCAGTTGGCTGCTACAGGTATTTTTATGTGGGGTTGCTAGTGGAGGAAAAGGGGGAGATAGTCATCTCCCAGCACTCAAAATCATTTCTAGTGTCTGGCATCAAAGCAAAGAATCCAGGCTTCTTGGCAGATTTAGTCAGAGGTTGTCATGGAACAAATGGCTGAATGGATGCTGATGCAGGGATACATTGATGGGGGTGGGGAGGGGACAGAGCTCAGCACCTTTAGTGGGTAGTGAAAGACAGATAAAATTAGACATCTAGCATCTTCAGTCTCCCTTCCCTGGGAAGTATACCCCTGGTCTCTCTTTGAGGCTATAGTTATCAGTCATCCTCCCAGCTCAAAAATACTCCCTCATTTGGAAAAACCAAACAAAAGGAAATCAATGGATCAACTCAATTGATGGCACAGGGTGATTTCACCAGGCTGTGGGATTCCACTCCCCAGAATCTTTTCTTCAGTCAGCCACCATCTTGTCAAACCCACTCCCCTTCCCTAGCTGTTGCATCCTCATAAGGACCTCCTTGTTCTGGTTATTTATCCCCTTTGGGGTCACATACCTGGATGAATGGTGTGCTGATAGATATTTAACAATAGGCTCTCCAAAAAAAAAAGAATGCAAGATGCACTTTAAATTTTAATCTGCATTATTATCTCCATCATTTTCTTAAGGCTAGACATTCAATAAAACATAAGTCAAGTCCTGATTTGTAATGTTTGCAGATTTCTGAGTTGTAAGTGCTCAAACTAAAAATTTAACAAATGGTTTTCTCCATAAGAGCTGCCTCCAGCACACCTCAGCATAGCAATACCACAGTAACTGCTCTCTACAGAGGGCTATCTCAACCCATTTCTGCTCAGGATTCAGTCCAAGTGGAGCTGGAAAAACCATAGTTTTCCAATGGCCCAGATGATTTACCAGTAAGACAGAAGAGTTCTTCCCCACAGATACAGGCTCACCTGAGACAATGGTGTAGCCAATTCCTCGAGGCCGGCCCTTATCTTGGTCAACCGCTGTGATCATGCGTACTGTTGTGCCCTGCCAGAGACAAAAACAGAGGCCATGAGTACCACAATGGGGGCTTCATATCCCCGTTGGTTAGCTGTCCTTCCAAGAGCTGTTCCCATTAGCCACTCCAGCCAAACCAATCCCTGGAGGGGCGGACCTCTCCCAACATTGGTTGGGAAAATCCTCGTGATGCTGGGCCAGTTAGCAGAATGTCCAGGGGTTCAGGCCACTTCTGCTCCCTCTTTGCCATGGGCAGTTAAGCCCCAAAGTCATTTGGTAAATGTCTTCTGGAGAAGGCTAATCCTAAAAATAATAATAGTTGACAAGTATGGTCCTCTAAACTTTACAAAGTGCTTTATATAGACACACACAGACACACCCATCCAGACATACACACACATACACCCCACTTTAGCTGATTGTCATAGCAATGGGGATTCTGCATATCATAGATAAGGAGGCAGAGACTTAGAGGTTAAATGGTTGTCTGTGGTCACACAAATGATATCAGATGCTGGATTCAAAGCCAAAACTCTCCTATCACCAAATCTAGCAATCTTTCTGTTATACTAGACTGACTTCTCTCCTCAACATCCATCCTCACTTCCCATCTCCTTCCAGACATATGACTCACCCAGTGGAGAGATAGAATTGTAGGCCTGAAGAGGAAACACCTGGGTTCTACTCTTATATACGCCACCAAATCTTTATGGAGGTAGGTCATTGTCCTTTCTTGAACCTCATCAGGATATACAGAAATAGAGAAATTTCTTCTATCAAATAATATTTTATCAAAATAACCAAAATAGAATGCTGCTTCTCTAAAAAGGACTATGGCGTGAGAGAGGTGGGGGCATCTGACAAAGAATTAGAAAGACTCATTTGGACCAATGTACAAGTGTTGGGACGGGGAGAGTGCAAGCGAAAATGAATTTTAAAAGAATGCCACAAACCTGCACAAATAGAATCAGGAAGGTTGAAGCTCAGAAGGAGCCAAGCTGTGTGAAAAGTGCTAAGCATAACGAAAGAGATTTTTAAACCTCACCTATATTTAGAGCAAGAAGAGTGAGATGGGGATTAGGTTCATGGCTTGAGGAAGATAGTATGAAGAGAAACCAGAAAAAGCATAGTAAAGGCTGGTTGAATTGAAAGAAGGTGGAACCACTCAACTCCTGTTTTGTTTCCATCTTCTGTATCAGAAAGAATTATCTTCAAAAAGAAAAAGATAGAATGTGCTGTTGTTCTGCCATGTCCAACTCTTCATGATCCCATGGACCATAGCATGCCAGGCCCTTCTGTCCTCCACTATGTCCCAAAGTCTGCCCAAGCTCATGTTCATTGCTTCCAAGGAGGATGAAACAAAGATTGATAAAATGGAATTGAAGTCCAAGATAGGTGAAGAAATGTTAAGAAAGCATCTAACTGCTTTTAAATTAGTTCTCAAGAATAGTATACATTTCATATCTAGGCACTGAAAAAACTAAAAGGTGGAATCACCGAACCACTCTATGGAATCTTTGAGTAATCATAATTGAGAGGTTCTAGTAGAAAAGAAAAGAAAATATAGTTCCAGTTTTAAAAATAGAAAAAAAAATAGATTGCAGAGACTACCAACCAATGAGCTTAACTTCATTCTTTGGCAAAAGTATAGATGTCATCAAGAAGATGGTTTAAGAGCATTTGGAAAAGATTGTGGTGATCACTAGGATCCAAAACAGATTAATAAGGAGCAGTTCATGCCAAACTAATCTCCATTCTTTTTCTGAGAGGGTTACTAGACTAGTTGAACAAGGAAATACTATAGACACAGTGTATCGACTTCAGCAAGACTTTTCACAAAGTCTCTTCAAGATATTTTGTTAAAAGTCTGAAAATTCAGGCTGAACAACTGCCCAGTTTAGCAGAATAACAGCTAGCTGAATGACCACACCCAAAGAATGATTAATGGATCAACATCAAACCTGGGGTCCTGGCACAAGTTACAGGGATTCGTACTTGGTTCCATCTAATTCAACAATTTCATCATTGCCTTGAATGAAGACCTAGTAGGCGAGTGTGTCTAATCTGCTCATGAGGCAAAGCTAGAAGGGATAGTTAGAAGGCAGAATTGAGATTCAAAAAGATCTTGACAGGCTAGAGTAAATCTAATGAGCGGTGATAAATACATTTTAGTTTTTAAAAAATCAACTGCCCGGTATAGGACTGGGAAGGCTAAGACAAACAGTAGTTCAGGTGAGAAAGTCAGAGGGGCTTCAGTTGACTATGAGCTTAACATGAACCAACAATGTGATGTAGCCATCCTAAGGCTAATATAACTTAAGATTATATTAGTAGAAGAGATGCTAGGTGGTGCCATAGTGCATAGAGCACTGGACTTGCAGTCAGTAAGACTTATCTTCCTGAGTTCAAATCTGGCCTCAGACACAAAATGGCTGTGTGACCCTGAGCAAGTTGCTTAACCTTGTTTGCCTCAGTTTCCTCATCTGTAAAATGAGCTGGAAGGGGTGGCTAGGTGGCACAGTGGATAGAGCACCGGCTCTGGATTCAGGAGGACCTGAGCTCAAATTCAGCCTCAGACACATAACACTTATTAGCTGTGTGACCCTGGGCAAGTCACTTAACCCCCATTGCCCAACCAGAAAAAAAAATGAATTGGAGAAGGAAAGGGCAAACCATTCCAGTATCTTTGACAAGAAAACCCCAAGTGGGGTCATGGAGAGTCAGATATGGCTGAAACAATTGAATAACAACAATATTAATAGAAGTACAGTGTCTCTCTTAAGGGAGATGATAAGCCTACTGTACCTTATATTAGTCAGCCTGTACTTGCAATGCTATAATCAGTTTTGGGCTCCACACTTTAAAAGTGTCATTGAGAAGAAAACTTGTATCTGGAAGATGGTGAAGGGTCTTGAATTTGTGTTATATTCAAAGCAATTCGATTTAATTCAAGAAATACTATATTTACATGAGAAAAAGAAAAGGGGATTGTAAGCCCAATGAAGAGAAGACTAAAGGGGTGTATGATAAACAACCAGAGGGAAGAACTAGGCCAATGAACAGAAGTTACTAGGAATAAATTATGTAATTTATGCAATTATGTAATTAAGTAAGTTATGGCTCAGTATAAAGAAGCTGAAAAGGACCTTAGAGGTCATCTCATCCAACTCATCCATTTTACAGATGAGAAAACTGACTCCCAGAGGAGTCAAGTCCCTGAAGTGACTTGTTCATGATCACACTAGTAATAAATGGCAGGTCCTCTGACTCCAACTCTAGCATCCTGTCTGCTATACCACACTGCCTAGTGCTGGCACAAAAATGGAGGGGGCTGCCTTGTGAGGTGGTGAGCTCTCCGTTCTTGTAAGCATTTAAGGAGAGGTGAGGTGACCAGGGACATCGTAGAGGGAATTAGCGTGTTGTTTGGAATGTAGAACCCAACATCTCCTAACTCAAGTCACTTCCAACTCTATGACTTGAGTATAAACAATGGGAAAGACTTAGCTAGGTCATAGACATTATTAAGAATTTTCTAGGGTCTGAGAGGAGCAGGACAGATGCCTTAGCTTGGTTGTTACCCTGAATATTAAATGCCATTATCAAACCAAACAGACAGGAAAATTGGCAATGGGGCAGGCTGCAACAGCAGTGACCACAGAGCTCAATCAATTGGGTCCCATGGTCAAGAATGCAATGATTTGGGGAAGAGCCTATGGGGATCCAAGGGAGCTGGCCCCTGATTGCTGAATTCCCCATCTCACCATGAAGGCCTTTGCTCTCTCCCCAGATGTCAGACAAATTAATGCCCTGTGCACTGCATTTATAGCCCTTTGCTCCTATGTTTGTATTGGTTTGTGGAGAGGACCAGGAGGAATTCCTTTCTCCCTCAGGGAGAATGTCAGCAGAAGTATTTGCATAACTAATAAGGGCGACCAGGAGGCCCTAGCAGCCTTGTGCCAATGTCATCATCTATCAGTCAAAGGTTGGAACAGAGTGTTCCTGTCCAATATATAACTCACCCTTCAGGCCTCCTCCTCCCATTGTTCTGGCTGAATTTCTAGGCTGATGATACCCACTTGCTTTAACATCAGTCCTTTTGACCTGAATGATGTGCCAGTTAAAAGGGGAGGCCAAACTACCAAGGAACAGACACTTTTGACAAAAAAGCAGATCAGAGACCCTCCCCATCTTTGGATTTGGATTCCCCAAACCTGGTAGTTGAATCTAAACTGTGCTACTTTCTGCCTTTGTGATTCTGGTCAAGTCACCTTATTTTGGGGGGCCTCAGTTTCTCAACCATGAAATTAGGGGATTGGACTACATTGGGGGTTCCTAACTTGGGGATGCACAAAATTGTTTCATTTTAAAAATATTTTAATAACTTTATTTCAATATAATTGATTGTAGTCCTATATATTTTATTTTATGCCTTTAAAAATATCATTCTGAGAAGGGGCATATAGGCTTCCCCATACCACCCAAGGGGTCCACGGCAAAAAGAAGGTAAAGAATTTCTGGGCTTGGTAATTTCTAAAACTCCTTTCCATTAGAAATATATGATCCTTGAACCCTATCACCAAGATGGGAAGAGGCTAATGGCCATGGTTGAGTTTACCTCTATCCCTACTCAATCTTCCTCAATTTCACTGGCTTTTCCATGATTTGAGAGATGGTCCAATCTTGCTACTAACCTCCTGCTCTAACCCTCACCTTGGTGGTACTGAGATACTGGTCTCTTCTCAAAAAGATGTGAAAAAAAATCTCCTTTACACTTAGTCTAGCTATGACAAAGTTAGGCGTTTTCAGAAGGAACTTGAATTAATGATAAAGCAGAAGGAAAGCAAAATCCAAAAGGCCCTCCACAATATACAAAAGCATAAAAAATGGATGGCCTTAGAGAAGATAGATTCTGTACTTAATCAAAGTCCAGGCACACAGTATCTTGGCTGACATGGCTTATGGGATGCCCAGCTCCCTAGTTCCTGTCCCCTGATTCAAGCTTGTCTAAAAAATCCCACTCATAAGTCACC